GCCAACCCTCAGGACTAAGTCAGGGCAAGCCAGAAGGGGTGCTGACCCTGTGAACCGCCTGATTTTGTTGTTTAGACTGAGGAAGATGAGGGTGAACAGGAGGTCCATAGCAAGCACACATGGAGACCTGTCACTGGCAACAACACAAATGGTGCAGTTTGAACATTATTTAGATTGCATGCTCCATTACCAAGCATTGATGAACACATTCTCTGGGCAAAGGAAACAGCTCTCAGTTTGCTGGGACCCCTCCTCTTATGGAGGGAAGGAAATCATGGTCTCAGCAGTGTACCACCCCCACCTTCAAAAAGCTTGCTGGCTCATGAATCAAGAAATGGGCCCAGTGATGGTGTCTGAACTGGATTACAGCCTATTGAGCCTAGCCAGAAAGCACAAACTGACAAGGGTGGAGGGGTACAAAGAAATTAGAGCCCTATCAGCTGGGCTCAGGAGCATAGGGATGAGTTTGCAGGACTTCACTGTGCCCAAAAACCTTTTTTGCAGACCACTGGCTGCACAAGAGTTCAGGATTCCATCTGATGATGGAACCTGTGTCTACATTTTTGATGAAGAATCTGGACAGTGCAGACCAGAGGTTCCTGAGGGCATGATGTTGGGAGAGGTGCCAGTCCTCCTGAGTATTTCAGATCAGGGGCCCAACAATACAGCTGCTCTGAACTTCCTTCAGTTCAGCCAGGGGTCCCTGATGATTGCTGTTCAGTATGACAGCTTCCACAGAAGTTGGAATGGCCTGAAACTGGCATTCAGGAGAGCATCCTTTAATGGGTGGAAGTCTGTTCTGCAATTGACCATGGTGGCAAATGTGCCTTATGGTCCATTTGGGACCTCACAATGGTGGTTCAAGAAGAGATCTTGGGTTGAAGACTATTTGGCCACCAATGATTGCACCAGTGCCAGCTGGACAGCTTTGCAGCATTTGATTTGTGCAGAGAAAAGAGTGCCAGAACCAAAGGCACCAGAAGATGCAGCAGCACTCTTTCAATCAATTGCTAGCATGCCCTCAGTGCAGGAAAAAGGACCTTTGATCAAATTAATGCGCTGGTTTTCTTTCTTCGAGTCTATGACATTTCTAGAAGGCCAGCTTTGGATCACAAAGCTCATTTTGCAAGAGGCCTTGAAAACCAGCCCTGGTGATTTTGGAGAGTCTGATGGAGACAACAAGGACAAGGAACCCCTTCCAGAGGAGGCAGACCCAAAGAAAGAACTTCAACAGCTGAAAAAAAGGAAGGGTGTGCTGAGGCTGGCTCCAGACCTCATTAATGTCCACAACATTACTGCCAAAGACTGCATGATGGCAGTGGGAAAAGCAACCTGGAAGAGCCATGCCAGCAGGGCAAGGGAGATTACAAGCCCACTCCATGTCCTTGAATACAACATCGCCTGTTGCAGGTCCAAATTCTGGGCTGCTGAATTGGAAGACATGGTCCACACCAGCCTATGGGACCACAGACACCTGCAACATGTTTTGCCAGAGTACAGCATTCACCAGGATTCATTGGACTGGCACTTGGACCTTTTGGTGAAGTTGATGGAGACCAGGAGCATGAGCCTGGTATCTTTCCATGAATTGCCTCCCAATTGTTACCACCATGTCATGGCTCAAGACCCCCAAATTTCCAAGATGGCCTGTGACAAGGCTTGCAGTCACTTCAGGATGTTGACAGAGGCTGAGGCAGCCTCAAATCAAGGTGCCAATATAGAACCCCTGAGAGAGATGTACTGGAGAAACAGTCCTCTAGTGAGGACTATCATGCTTGCCTTTGATCAGGACAGGAGGCTGGGAAGGGAAGGTGGTACTAATAGCCAGGCAAAGAGGATCCAAGAGGTCCTGGCCAAGAATCTTGGTGACAGCAGAGTCATTGAGGTTGGCCATCAAAGTGCCAAGGACATTCTGAGGAGCTCAAAGAGTTCAACCTTTGGCAACACCAGCATCATGAGCAAATTGCTATCCTCCTCAACATTGCAAAACAGGAAGGTAGATTGTGTTCAAGTGGCACACTCTACCAAAGTGGAGGCCTCCATCAGCAGAGGAAGGAAGGAAGGTGTAAAGACCATCATGCTTTCCCACACGCACAGACTCCCCAAAGACATGCAAAACTTGATGGTTCCCAAGAGCAAGTTGGCCACTTGGCCATCCCCATCACCAGCCTCCCTTTTTCAATCAGCAGCCTCCACACAGTGGCTGTTTGAATTTTGGGAAGGTAAGGGAAAGACCTTGCCCAACAACTTGGCCTGCAATGATGCCTGGAAGAGTGTGCTGGCAACCCCTGGCACAACAGTGGCCCAGAGGTCGACAGGCATTGTGGCAAAGGTGATTGCATCAGGTGAGTACTCTTTCTTGGCTTGGCTGCTGTCAATTGAAAAGCAAGATGGTGAAACCTTCATGGTCATGAGACCCCACAGGGACAACCTTAAGTGGTTCCATCTTTATGATTTGGAAGATTGGGTTGTGATCCCCACCAAGCCAGCTTTACTGAACAAGCAAAGGGGGCCAGTTGGGTGGCAAAAGAATGGTGATGCAATGTCAATTGAGTTGGCTTTATGCCTGGCTGGCTTGCCAATCACAGTGAAGCACACGAAAAGCCTCATTGGGCTATTGGGGGGTGAGGTCCCAAAGGGAAATGCGAGCAGAAAAGAAGTTGAAGAGGTCTTGTTGGAGTGTGTGGTACCAGAGCACAAGAAGGTTGAAGCCAGACAAAGCATGAACAAACCCAAACAAGATGAGGACATAGATAGTGAATTCTCTGAAGTGTTGTCAGAGTTGGGCCAAGATGAGGCCAACAGAACTGACATCAAAGACCTCAGGTCCAAGCAGAGAAATGCAAGGCTGAAAAGAAAGGGTGCAGTCAAGGACCAGGAAGTAGGGAAGGCCAAGAAAAGGAAGACTGGCAAAGGAAAGGGAAAAGGCAAAGGCAGAGGGAAAGGGAAAGGTAAAGGTGTGAAGAGGAAAGGCTTGGGGGAGCAATTCATTGGCATTGCATTGAAAAGGATGAAGGCTTCACATGACCAGCATGACCAGCAGCCACCACCAAGCTCAGAGAAGAAGCACCCAGAGCCAGAGGCAAGGGAACCTATGCCAGAGTCAGAACCAAAGCCTACATCATCATCATCAGCCTCAAAGCCTACATCAGCATCAGGACCAGAACATTCAGGGCAAGAAGCCTCAAGTGCAGAACATTCAGAAGCAAAAGCCCCAGGCCCAAGTGCTCCAGGGACAGGTTCAAAAACACCTGCTCCCAAGGTGTATAAGAGCCCTGAAGAAATCCTACAGCAGATTTCACCACCAGGCTGCTTCATTGGGATTTCCCAACCAGAGCATAGGTGGACATCAAGGTTTCCATGCAGTGACAAGAAAGTACTGGGAACAGAGTTTGCAAAGCAATCATGCTCTGCATCCTTTGCACTGATCAGGGGGTGGAAAGAAGCATTGGCAATGGTGCACAGCCATTGCTGGAACAAATACATCTTTCTGAACCCAGGAGCCACTGCCCAGGAACCAGGAAAAATCCCAGCCCAAATCCTTGAGGCATTAGAGCCCACTATAAAGTCTTTGCCAGCAGTGAAGCGCTACACAAAGGAGTAAAGCAAACACCAGAGAGAACACATGGCAGTACAGGATTGGGGAACCATCAGGCAGACAGGCAGAGGGGATGAAGGGGCAGGACAGCCAGGAGACCTACCTTTGATTTTGGGTGGCTGGCTCGTTTGAAGCCTTGAGAATCCACTGGCTGACAGACTGAGGGAAGCCCAGTGATTGAGCAGCTCTGGTTTGGTAGAAAATGGAACTATTATCATCATTGCTGTGTGTGTGTGCAGTGCACATGTCACATGCCTAGCTATGAGCAATGCTGTGTGCAAAGAAGCATGCTGTGTTTGACCAGCTGTGCATCCCAGCCCAGGGTAGTTAAGCAAGTGCTGTTCTGGTCAGGTGCCATTGTGGTGCAAGCATCCTGTCTTGAAAGCAATGGCTCTTTTTTGTTTGTGGGAGGGTGGGGTGGGGGGTGGGGGGATTGCAGCACTACTTCTTGAAGGTGGTGTGTGCTAGCCTTAATGCCTTGAAAGGCTTTTTGGTGTAATGACACATGGCTGCAGGGTGGCCACTGTGGACTGTGAGGAAAAGGAGTTGAAACATTGTGCCCACACACTGGGGCAAAAAGCTCTAAGTTTGTTAGTATTGAAGCTGTTAACTAGTTAGGTAATAAAGACTGGGCAACTAACTATGCCATGACTCATGTTGAGCTTCAGCTTTGCTTTGCCTCACCCTGGTTCCCTGACAGGTGATGCAATTTTGATATGATTGGATGGCCAAAATGGCCTATGACATCGATGGAACAGAAGTAAAGAGAAAAAGTCAAGCCTGTGACACTGTGTGCTCTTGCAGTGGGGAGAGAGGTTCATGGATTGGATTTTCTTAGGTTTTCAAGGGGTTTGATTAGGTTTTGCAAGGATTCCAATAGGTTTTCATGGGATTCCTTTAGGTTGGCATTTTAGACCACCAATGCTGAAGAATCACCATTTGAAGCAGCATGAGCAGCTACTCCCTGATAACAGGAGCACGGGTCTCTCCCTTTTTTTTGACCAGCCGTGCGCGGGGTCCCACCAATCTCCCAACGAGATTCTTCGGCCTCGGCCGGAGGGGGCTCTCATGGCCAGCAGGATCGCCGGATGGCCTGCCGACCCGAAGACCATGTCCCTGTAGTCCATGTCCCCGCTCGCTTTTTTGGATTCGGGAGCCTTTGAATCCACCGGGTGGCTGGCATTGAAGATTTCTGACCACAGATGGCTTGGGTCTATCCTGCTCCCAGGATCAGTTGGGAGAACAAATCTAGAGTATTAAGTAAGGTCTTGGCCACCTGCTAGAACAGACCAAACACCCTGCCAGGATCCCTTTGAGATGGAAAATGCCTCCCTGCTGCAAACAACGTGTTGGTCATCACTAAAGCCTTGCTTTCCATGGAAGAACAGCAGATTTTGGGCAGGCCATCACGCATGCGCTGGCGCCACAGCAGTCGCAGAAGCAGCTGCTCGTCCATGAAGGGGTTTGAAGCTGAATGACGTTGCAAGTTTTGTGAAGTCTTTCAAGACGAAATCCTTTGCCCGAGCAAGTTCGGAAGTTCCCACAATTCCACCCTTGATTGACTTGAAAGAAGGCTGAAGAAGGCTGGGATGGGTGACCTTTTTTTGAAATTGAACTAGCCCAAACTCGCTTGGCCCCCTTTTTTCCGCGTGGAAATGGTCCGGGTGTGGCCCGCAAAGGCTGACCCGGTCAGGATGACAGGCTTCCCAAGGCCATTCGCATGACTCGGCCATCGGTCCACTGGTTCGGCTCGCTCGAACGAGGCCGGTCGAGTTGCTTCGGTCGCTTCGGGGCCGAAGGAAAAAGCGCCGTTCGGAGCGCGGGGCCCGGAGGGCCTGACCTCTCAACCCCGAAAAGGGCCCCAACTGCCGATGTGCGTGACTCCCCTTCAAACCATGCAGTATCAGAAGAGTATCTTGAAGAGGTGAGAGTTGGGTGCAAGGCCTGGCTGCTTGGCATGCGCCTGGCGCAGCATACCACAGGCCTCAGGTTCTTTGAAACCGGATAGCCATCGGAAGACATCGGAGACTCCCATGGCTCACCGAAAAAGACGCCTTACTCGGTTCTTTTGGCCGCCTTACTTTGGTGTAATGCGGTGGAACGCCTGACTCCGGTGGAACGTTTACTTCTTGCTCCTGGCTCAGATCCCAAAGATCATTTTGGGCAAAGCCTCATATAACTTTGAGCAATGAATACTCATGGAAGTTTAACAATATTAATAATCTAAATTAGTCTATCATATTATGTATGTCTCACCATGTCGGGAATGACTTGAGCCATTAGAGTCAGCCGGGTATCCACTGCTCGGCCTCGAGAACGTCACACTGCTTCAGACCGTGGCACCTGGTGAACTGTCGGTTCAGCCAGGTGAACTGTCGGTTCGTTTGGGCTCCTGGCCCCACGAACCGGTTTCAACCTGAACTCCCTGGAGTCCAGGCCTCCAAAAGGCATGTTACGAGGGAGGATGGGAGGTAGAACCGGTGCATGAAACAGCTGAAACACTCCAGCCTGAAGGGATTCAGGTCAGTCCTCATAGGTTGCAGTCACAAGGTTCTGATGTTTGTGTTCATGGAATTAACCTGTGTCCAGCTCCTCCAACAGGTCTATTTTTGCAGGCTTTTGGAGACCTAAAAGTGGCAGGTGGTGACCTGTTGGAGGGTGCTGGCACATCTATGTATATATTACAATATTACATATACAATATAAAGCGACAAATCATTGTATGTAGCGATATATGATATATGATATCTTTTTCCTCTTCTGTCCGGCAGGGAAGTCCACCCAATTTCATTCTGACTATCCAAACGGTCTACCCCGAACGACCTCAGGATGCCTTGCCAACTCATCTTTCCCGACGACACCATGGCGATCGGCTCGCCGGCCTTGCCGCGGCAAAACCTCTTCCCTGCGGACCGCCGCGGCGTTCTCCGCGTGCGGCGCGCGGAGAACGCGTGGGTCGTCCAGGGTTCACCGCGGCGCACGGTCGGTCCCAGGGCGGCTGAGGAAGAGCGGAACATGCCTAGCGAGGTAGACTCGAGTAGACCCACTCTGCGCAGATGATGTAAGCAGTTGTGAACTAGTGGACTGGACTCAGGCCTTGCCTTTTTCGCTATTCCCCTAATTGATTCAGAAGAACCGCGTGTTCATGTCTTCGCGAGGATGGAGAAGGGCTTCAGGAATCGGAAGAGGAGAGGCGCGGTGCTGAGATCCACAGCCCAGCCCGCGGTGCCGACATGACCCCTTTCCGACTCCGACCACATCCGATGTTCTGTGTCACGGTTCGTCCCGCAATGTTCGGGACAAGACATGGGCCGAGTCACGACGAGTAAGACTGGTCGGTGGACGAAGGCGGAGCCCGGCTCGTTGACGGTCGGACGGGCTCTCCGTCTCGTTGACGGGAGCCCGCGCAGGCAGCGGCGCTTGTTGCAGAACGAGCCGATTGTGGTCTACACCTCTCTCTCCGAGCAGGAGGCGCCCGAGCGGTCGAACACCAGAAAAACACGAGGGTCCGGTCTGGGCACGGAAGCACGAAGCTTGGACTGATGGAAGAAATCCAATACCCCCCAAAGCAGAGTGGGCTTGCTCTGTGCCTTTCATTCCTGCTGTGCAGGCTTGGATCCACGTGGCGCCAAACGTTTTGACGGGATCCAAGTGGTGCTTTTCCCATAGACCTTGGGGATCTTGCAAGTTGGGAGGGTCAGTCTAAGACGGTCACGGCGGAACCTTGGATTCTCTTGGACCCTCTTTGAGCGTGCCAACCCGCCACCGGAGAGCAGAAGATGGACAAACCCAGCGACTGGACGGCGCAGAGAGTTAGTTGATTCTGGAGACGCATCTCAAGTGGTGTCCGACCGCGCCCCATTTGTCGAGCTTGACCGGTGTGCGGCGCTGGCCATGAAGGGAGCAAAGATGGAGATGACCAGCAGCTGTCCGGCCTTTGCTGAGGGTTGCCCTTACGGGAAGAATGAGCAGATGCTCCAGTGGGTTAAGGACAAGCGCCACTTGATGCAATTCTTGAGATGTGGACAGAGGTATGACTCACATCTTTCGAAGAAAAGGGGAGCGACCCAGATCATTTGGGTTTAGAAAGCTTTGATGATGATTTTTGTATATCAAGGCCTTCAGTTTCAACTGTTCGGGAGCTTTCAACAGCGCGCAGCTTCCGACCCGCGGGACCCGGTGCGGTTCGACCCGTTGGGGTCGACCGGTTGCCGGTGCTTAAGGAGAGGACGCGTATGGCGCTTGCCCAGCCTTCAAGGCTGGGTGTCCCTTCAACGACGTCTGGGACCTGGCAGGCCGGTGCGGCGTTTGGGCGCTTGGGATGTGTGGTTTCAAGGGACTGAGGGAGATGAAGCTGGTGTCCTGTACAGGTATAGCCCCCGAGGGGGCTTTGCCTTTCGACATCACGTGGTTTTTGAGGAAAAGGAACCCACTGTTTGAGACCACCCGACCCGTAAACCTGCGTAAACTCGCCGAAAAAAACAACGACGTACCTCTGTCGCACCCCGAGGTTTGCTGTCGAAGCTGCAGGAGCTTCCGAGCTCCCATGGGCCGAGCTCGGCCACGGCGACCTCCCACGGAGCACTCGTGGAGACGTGGCTTTTGGATTCGAACGGTAGAGTGGAGTGGATTTGAAAGGGATTTGAACGGTTTCTTTTTTTGAAGAAACATGCCCATGCCAAGCATCCAAAAGTCTTGGCTTAAGGCTTCATTAAGAAGAAGGGTTTCTGGCCTTCTGTTGGAACTATATGTGTAAAACATGGTAAAACAAGGGTTGATGGGCATCTACTAACAAGGCTTCAACTTGCTGAGAGGCTGAGAGTATGTCCAGTGGAAGACCAACCATTGCTTCCAATCAAAAGAACACTGCTGGTGATCAACAACCGACCAAAAACATATTGGTGGTGTGACAACCCTCAGTTTCTGCCCGTCAAGAATCTTCTAAGACTGAGCTCCGGCCTCCCCCACTGCAGGTGGACAAAAAAATACAAAAAACCAACACACCAACTTGAGAGTTTCTGGTATTTCCCCTCCCACCCCTCTTTAAGGGATGCCATTGGCACCGGGAGCGGAGAAAAACCGCAAGAGAGCCGGAGCCCCCCCTTGAAGTCGGTGGCAGGATCCACATCTAAGGAGATGCTGAGCACGGTGCATCAAGCTTCGCAGCGCCTATGGCTGTGATATGTGGTTGTTTCCTGGGGCCAAAACAGGAACCTGGGGGAGCCTGACACATATCTTGAGGAGCCTGACACGTGTTCGAAGTCCACTCCTGGATTGTTTCGGGAGAAATGGAGGGCTTTGGCAAACCTTTTTAGGGAGAAATTGATTCTTGGAAGGACCCCGACTGCTCGTCCGTGTTCATCGGGCAGTCAAGTGGGCGTTTCGACGGTGCAGAGCCGACCAGTTTTTGGTCCTGGGACCCCTGAGGACGATGAAGCAGGCCGTGGGCCGCGAGTGCCCCGTGTTCCAGGCGTCGTCGCCCGTGTTCGTCGTTCCTGACGGTGATGTGTGAGGATGAGAAAAACGGTTCACAGCGTTGGACCGTGACGCTCCGTGAGTTCATGCGACATGAGGGTGCAGGGTCGCATCTGGGGGAGAGATACTTCTCTGGATTCTTTCCTCGGACATTAGCCCTTCACAGATGTGTGAAGCGGCGTGAAAGCCGTGTGAGAGCCACTATTACATTATAGACATGCATTTCATGATCTCTTCTCTTTCACTGTTCCTCTCCTCCAAGTGTTAAAGTCAAGTCATTTCATGTCATTTCCTGATTTGTCCGGGGAACACATCACATCAGGACACGGTTTCTTTAGACCTATTTCTTCAGAAGATCCGAACAAAAACCCTGCAGATGGGCTATCGCATGGGTTTCCGCCCCATGGGCTCGGTGTGATTCAGAGTGGTTCTTCGCCTCGTCGAAGGAGTCTTGCCCCTTCAAAGCCGCCTCGACCTCCAGCGGGACGCCCTTGGCGCTGGCACTGGAGACCCGCTCCTGGGGGCTTCTGGCCTGCGACGCAGAGACGGGCCTGGCGCAGAAGTTGAAGGAAGGCCTGGCGCAGGTTTTCGCTCAAACAGTTTCTGCTGGGGTTCTCTCTTAGGAAACACCAGGGCTGGCCACGAAAGCCGTCTGCTGTCCGCCCTTTCTTGTGTCCCGGCCAAGGCCCCGGGTCTGTGTGTCCTGGCTGTCCGTCCCCGGCTGCCTTGGTCGTCTGTGGCTAGAAATGCGCATGTCCTCATGCAGCGTTTGGATTTGGATCTCATTCCCGACATCTATTTTTCTGCGGGACCTCCTGACTCATCTCTCCACATTGAATATCGAAGCTCCAGCAACGAAGGAACCATGCGAACGGGCGGAAACCACCTTCGGACGGTTCGGCCGACCTTTGGGACCAGACGGGGACGGTGCGGTCTGGCCGACAGGGCCCTGTATGACATAGGGCACAGTCCTTACGAAAAGTGAGTGTTGGTGAAGTTGGTCAACATACTCAACCTACTACATAGCCTTCCAGAAAGCATCAACAGAAAGGCTGACTTCGTTTCATGAGTTGAAAAAAGGATCTCTCTTGCAAAGCAATGGTCGTAATACTGTAGACATTTTCTGGTGGTTCAGCTTTCAATGCAACCCCCGGTATGTTCATCTTCTCTGCCGAATTCACCACATGGGCTCGTCCCCTGTCCCCAGCTTGGTTTTTCGGCGCTGCTAGGCACTGCCGAAGCGCACAAGGCTGCGGAAAACGTGCACTTTGTGAAGGAGTTCATCAAGTGTCGCGTCGATCGACAGATCTACGCACAATTCGTGGCCACTTGGAATGGATGCGAATCGCTTTGCTTTTTTAAAATCCGGTGCCCACGCGAAACGTGTTTTGCAGAAGAGTTTTGCCCCTTTCGGAGGTGTGACAGGTCTTGGGTGGCAGCTGCTAGGTAGCGACTGAATTTGGGACAACATGCAAAGCAGATTGCGACGATTCGATTGAAACATATTGAAACTGGTTTCGTTCCTTATCAGTTGGAGCTTCCTGATGCTTTCCGTCGTCCTGCTGTTTCTCAGGTGAACCTATACCACATCTATCAGGCCCTGGAGGACGGGGCTGGCGGGATCCGCTTGGAGTGGCGCTGGGATCCGCTTGGAAGCTTCACGTGGTCATGGTGGTCTAAAAGTCTAACAGGCCTGAACGTTTTGGTTTTCCTGGCTGGGCTACGAAATCGGAGTGTTTTTGGGAAAGGGATGGAAAGGGACACTTTCTAGTTGCTCCAGATGACGGTAGGATGGCTATGTACTCCCAGTGGTAGATGATGCTGATAGGTTTTAAGTCTTTTAAGTTGTACCCTCTAGTGACTCAGATGTGGCAGGATGACTGTTCGCCTCAGTGGCTCGTGGTCGCCTCTTCGCCCTTCGAAAGGCGGTCGGCCTTGGCCTCGCCTCGCGCGTCCGACTCGCGTTGTCGCGCTCGCCATGGGTCGTCCAGAGCAGTCCCAGGAGGCATTGGAAGCGAACGCCGAGCATCCCTTAGTGGAGTCCCTGCACTTTCCAGAGGCGGTGCGAGGGCCCGCGCGGTTGGTTGTGCGTGGACGGTCCCGAGGTTTTCACCTCGGGTGCAACACATGGGGCGGTTTGGTCCCGAAAGAGCCATGAAAGCCTCACTGAGTGGACCTCAATCCGGAAGGCTCTTCCTGAAGGTCTCCAAACTTGACATTTAAACACAGGCCTTGAGGACTTCCTCCACTTCAAGTGGTTCTGGAGATGCATGGATGCTTGTGAAACCATCTTCTTGCTGGGAATGGAGAACACTGATTGCACAGAACATGTGTCCGAACATGTTCAGGAGCTGGAGCGTGCTGAGACACTCAAGCGTGACGCGGAGTTCTACTTGGGGAGCAACTGGGAGCAGGAGCGACAAAAACCGGAGGGTTCAATACCATGACATGCAGTCCAGGAGTCACATGTCGGGGTGGTGTTTAGTCCCAGCCAGTCGAACGTGACTCCTGGGTGACATGCACATCAGGAAACCCGGTGCCAGATTGGAAGCATCTGCATCTCGGTGAGACTCTTCCGCATCATCTCAGGAGACTCTTCCGTCGAAGGTCACGCGTGAATACGTCCAGCGCTTGCGGCAGCTCAAAGAGGATGCACCTGAGTTGTTGATCCCTCACGCCTACACCAGGCGTGTGTGTCTTCATCAAACGAACGGCCCGCTTCAAACGAATGGCGCTCCAAAAACTCTGTTCACACCCCTCGAACGGCGCTTCTTCTTCTCCCATCAGACTCGGGCGATCGACCGGGTGCGCCCGTCTCCCGCGCGGGTCGGAGCCGCGAGGTATTTGGGCGACCTGAGCGGCGGGCAACTGCTGAAGAAGGCGGCGATTCGGGGGATGCAACTGCCGGAGGATGGGTCCGGAGCGTCTTGGTTTGAGCGATCGTGGCGTCGCGTCCACCGTTTTTCCATCGTTTTATATCCCTCTCTTCTGCCCAAAGCTTTGTACACCTTTCTGGGTCATCGGAAAAGAGATTTGGAAACATGTTCGGCTCAGCAGACTTGGACAAGATTGTCCTGACTCGGTGCTGGGTTGTTTCCTTTTTTATCCTTTTTTGGCTTCATGGAAGACACACTGAGGTGCACTTCTACAACTTCCGGCGGATTCGCGACGCTCGGCCGGGATATTATATAGTATTGTGAATCCCCGCGGTCACGGGAATCCTGTCGGCATGGCTTCACGGCTTCACCGAGGGTGTGAGCGGCGTGAGCCGGTCGCCCGGGATGGATCCCTTTCTGTGTCACCTCCCGAAGTCAAAGACCATAAGAGGAATGGTCAAACTAGGTCCCTAGGTCCTAGGTGATGCGAAAGGAATGTCCTCTACAAGGTCCATGGTGCCAAATACAGTCGACTTGGACTTCTAGGGAGTCTCGGTCGGTTTGGGGATCTCATGCGTGACTGAAAAACACTCTTGTACAAGTGATTGGTCTGTCTACCAGTTTCTATGTGGGTTTTGTGGAGAGTTACAAGTGAGGTTGGCTTTCAGTTACTGTAATCTGCTCTCCTCGCTGAATCTTCAGGAAAGACTTCAAGACGTCGATTTCGACCGGTGTCTTCAGCTGCTCCTCACCCCTTGGGTTTGGGTTATTTGGGTACGCACATGGAAAACGATCCCCTTGCGGAAACACCCACAGTGCCGAGTTTTCATATCGAGTCGCTGTACCCACACCCGAGGACAGCAGCGAGTCGGGTTCTGTACCACACCCGGCTCGAGTCGAGCCCGCCCTGAGGATACCATGACCTTCAAGAACATGTATCGTGCACGCATGGACAGCTTAGCAGCTGACAGCAGCACCGCTGACCGCATGGTCAAGGAGGCGAACTACGCCTTCTTCCTGAACACTCGCAGCCTGGATTATTGAAGTTTGCCCCAACAAACATCAACAAACCCTCAGTTTGTTATGAATAAGGATTGAGACATTTTGGCTTCCTGGGTAGGTACAGAGCTGTTCCGGTTCCCAGGTCAAACATGGTGACATTCCCCGACCAAAGTGCAGGCTTCCTGATCTTCATTCCTCCTGTTTATATACATATATGTATATGATATATATATATATATACCAGCACCTTCCAACAGGTCTCCTTTGGAGGTTTGTTAGGCCCTAACAGGTTTCAATTGGTGACCTGTTGGAGGTGCTGGTATAGGTCATTTGCTGTTGAAGATTTTAAAGTGCAGACAGATCTTTTGACCATGTTACCATGTTCATTTGTTCACCACTCATAAAACCCACGAATGACACTTCCGCCTGGCTCCTTCACCCAGGCATTTTTCAGGAGCTCGACTCCCTTGCTGGCTTCGAGGCGGACCCTGTGCCACCCCCTGTGCCGACCACCGCCGCGGCACCCAGTGCTGTTTCGGCCGCTGCAGCTGCCAAGGCGGCTGGATGCCCGTTCGCACACCTCGCAGCGGCTGGGGTGGCCATGCCGGAAGGGCATGGAGGCGTACAGGCGAGTGCTGTTGAGGGGGTGAAAGCATCTTGAATCTTGACTCACATAAAATAGAGCTGACATGTTTGCTGGAAGGGCAGTTGGCAGGTGGGCTTTCTTGACGATGCTGCGGACATATACATCGAGTTATGGATTTTACCATAGGGAAAACCCTCTTACAACCTTCCATGATGGCTACGCCTTGTTGCTACAGCGCCTTCAGGTGCCCGCACCCGTGACCGCCGCCCCGCTGTGGCGGTCGATCGCCGTGGGCGCCTCCGCGGCTCTGGCGATGGCGGTGGTGCTGGCCGTACGGAGGACTCGGCGCAGCTGAGCGGAAGAGACACGGAGAGACGTGGCTGTGAAGGGTTTTACGAAGTACGAGATGTGCGCACGGTTTTTTGCGGGTATGGGGAGTTTCCGTGAAAGAGTGGACCTGGTTTTTGCTTGTGTTTGGCAAGGCTTCCGAGCTCGCGACTGGGCGGTATGTTCTATTTTCTATTTATAGACATGAGTTGCGAGAGGGTGGACTCCCTTACCCATGGCACTTGAATTCGTGACACTCTTTGAAGTGCGCTATATGTTTTGCGCCCAGCAGTCCTAGGGGACTGCGGGCCTGGCTCAAATCAGTGGCCCGGCTGAAAGCCGGGTCGGAGGACTTTGGCCTCTTGTGACTTGTAAAATCTTGTAAGTGGATGTAAATGGTGGGTTTGTAAGAGAGCCTACTAACCTACTACTCTACTGCTGGAAAGATCCAGCTGGAAATCCTGAACACCCTTCAGCAACTTGAGCTGTAACTACTTGTAAGTGTCCCAGCCCACCTAAGAGTGGATGAACGCTTTTCTTCCAACAATGGCTGGACAGTCATGATACTCCCTTTATCATCCATTCATACGCCGGGCTGAGACACACTCAAGTTGTAACGACTTCATACGCGGAGGGTTCGTACAGGTACTGCTCCTCATACAGCTTTCCACGCCCCAAAAGAGAGTGCCGACGTGCCTGGGAACTGGGAGCTGCTGGAAGCTGCTGGGAACTGGTGGGAGCGGAGCTGGTGGCTGAAGTGGCCCAAGTGATGACGTGATCTCTCTGGTCACCGGTGGTTGCTCGACACCCCTGGTCCGAGGCAACCCGGACACCGGGCGGGCCATCGCTCACCATCCGATGTCACCGTCCCTCCTATGCTCCACGTCCTCACGTCCACCGTCCACCCTGTCCTCACCCCGCAGGTCCTTCTCCCTCGGGTCGTCCTCGGGGTCGGACCGGGTCCACGCCACCGGGTCGGACGGATCAGAGACGGACGGCCGGACGGAGAGAGACGGACGGCTTCGGTGTCCGTCCGGCCCCGGCAGCTTCGACCTGCGCAGAGAGGTCTCGTTAGTCTCGTTAGCTCTGACAGCTTCCCTGTGGCGCAGAGAGGTGCTTCTGCCGGAGATTGCCAAGAGAGGACTTGCACTTCTACTGGTGCTCGCGCTGCAAATGGCCACGCGGCCAGCAATGGGTTGGAAGATGGGTTGAAAGTGCAGACTGGTTGGTGCTTTGAGTTACTTTGTTGCTTTTTTCAACTAACTTTCAACCCCTATTTGGGAACGATTTGGATGGTGGAAAAAGGTCCACGACGGTGCGCCGGGTCTGAAAAAGGGTCGAGTGGTTCCATCCTGGATCTTCCAACGGTGCAGAAGTTCTGCCCTTTAAAATACATCTCTAAAACCAGCCAAAAAGGATGAACAAGGCAAACAGTTGTGATGACCTTCTGACCTTCTCATTCCTTGAAGCAAGGAGTACCTTGAAAACCCAACCCTGGCAAAAAACGTACTCTTTCAAGCAAAAGTGTAATCGGGAGTGAAAAGTGCTATCGTGTCTTCCTGGCCCATTTCAGTGGACACAGATCCACTTCAAATTGACCCTTCAAACCTGACAAACTTGGGCCATATTTTTGTCCGGGTATTTCCGCCTTTGTTCCGCCGATTTCCGCCTTTTGGACGGGTATTTCCGCTCTTGTTTCTTAGTTTTCTTTTGAGCCCGGTGGCTGGGAACCCTTTGGATCCGGTTTCTCATGTAACATGTCTGGAATGTTGTGAAATACCAAAAAGTGTATGTTGGGATCTGTGAATTTGAGAAAGTCTCATTCTTTCACATTTTTTTTTTCCAAAATGACTAAAATAATGCACTAGGTAGATAAGGACCAGCTTTCGATCGGTGATTTTCTGGGCTCCAGGTTTCGAGACGCCACGGACCCCAACGGACCCGATTTGCCGCCCACGATTTGAACGGACCCGGACGTTGGGGCGCCCAGCGCGAAGCCGACCGGCCCAAACGCCACAGCCGACCGCCCGCGCGGTCTGGGTGGAGGTTTGCATCATCATCATCCTCACAGGTGGTGAGGTGGGAGCTCTCGGGAGGGCGGGAGGAGGCTCATTGATGAGATGAGCATAGCCAGGTGCTGGGGAAGAAGGGATGATTCTCTTCGAAAGGTCGTGAAGATTCGTGGAGTCCATGAGGGCATTTTACACTCCATGTGAAAAGTCCATGAACATCGCGGGTGGGTACAAAGATCAAAGCTGCCTGCATTTTTCGACCCAAAGTCGAAAAACAGATCGGAACTTTTGCGCTTGAGATCGAGCCTTTCGAAGAAGGTCAAGAGTCAAGAGTCAACCCTGGAGCCCTAGGTGAAGAGCTAGTGTAGCGACTCTTGGCTTTGAGCTTGGGGGGTGACGTGACTCTTCATGGGGCCCTGGGGTTTTCATCTTGGAGGGATGCTGCAGCCAGAGTGTTTGGTGCGTCTTGCAACACTTGGTAGAAGAAGGACAGAGCGATTTGTGGGTCGTCCTTTGCCTATTGGCCTATTGGCCTCCTTTTTTCCCATCTGTTCAGCCAATCTCATGTGAGATGATGGTCCAAGCTTCTGATGGTCTGGCACTCAGCACAAAACTTTATGTTACCAAGTATCACCATCTGGCACAAGGTAGAACCATCTGAATTACATATACCAGCACCTTCCAACAGGCCTCCTTTGGAGGGTTGCTAGGCTCTAACAGGTTTCAATTGGTGACGAAGCACCCGTCCGTTTCGGACGACCAAACCGACCTTAAGCACGACCGTCAGTCCAGTGACGGGAACGCATGACATGGATGCGAGGCACACCAGTTGTTTGTGGAGGGCACCAGCAGTCCCAGCCATCTGCAGGTTGCGCCAGGGGGGCACAGGAGGAGTGGATCGCCTCGGATGGGCTGTTTTGGGTGGGGACTTGTCTAGCTTACAGTAGCATGTGTTAGGTTAGCAGTTTTCATGCCCAGTCGATTCATGTATATTGGGTTCAGTTCCGAAGATCAGAAGGTTCAGTTCCGAAGATCAGAAGGAAGGCCCTCATTCCCCATTTCCTTGTATATCCATCATCCCTCCTGCAAGGCTGTTTGGGCCACCAAGTAGTGCTGGAGAAGATGCTGGGCGGGCGTTTCTTGTTGCAACCAATCCATACACTAACCCTTCATGCTTTATCCTTGGTCCGCAGTGTTCTTGACTACCATCAAGGAATTTTCAGAGGTGAGGCCGGTGAGGCCGGTGAGGTGACTACCCGTCATCAATGTTGGGCTCCACCCGTCAGCACCTGTCTCCGTTGTAGGTGATGCTCTATGGGTCCCAGATAGCACTACAGCAGCTCTGGCTTCCGATCGCTTTTGTTTTGCGATCGCGCGCAGCAACGGTGCGCGAGCTTGGTCGCGGCTCCGGTCCATTCCCGAGGGAACTCCACAAGAAAGGACGAGAGCTGAGGGGCACATGAGTACATGAGCATGTACGAGAAACTACACAAGCATGCTTTGTTCGGGCCAATGATGATGCAAGCTTGGGCATGACCTGGCAGGATTCTTTTCATGGTTCATCCGCTGTTGAGTGTGACCCACTGAGTAGAGCTGCTTGACCCAGGTCCGCTGAGTCAAAACTGCCTGGGTCAGAGTCGGTCGCAGGAACCGAGCGAAGCCGTTGAAGATGGGGCCGTTGAACATGGGTGCCCCAAAATGGGTGGTGCTCCGTCTCAAAACCACAGCAATTCACGTGTTTGTCTTTTTTTGCCGTTCCGTTTAGGAGATCCAGTGACAGCTGGAGACGCCCCCAAAACTGCCTTGAAAACACCCGGAACTTCGCTTCTTTGCAGCTTCGCTGTCTCTCATTTCAACGCCTTTTTTGGACCGGTGATTCGACGGTGAAAAGTCCAGCGGGGTTTTCTCCACTTGCCACCGAACGGCGGTAGCTGAGGCCCATCTTCTTGTTGGCCATGTATCTATGGAGCCGGGGAGCTTAGAAGAGAGGCGTCGAGTGGAGAAGGACGCTCAGATTCGTGGGGCACCCAAGGAGCTCACCAGGTGAAAGAAGCTCCACCACGGGACGGCACCCAGGAAAGTGACATGCCACGAGTGACGCTGCTCCGGTGACGCTAACAGGTGCAGACCTCTTGAAGATCTACACCGTCTTGAGCCAGCTGCTCTTCGCCCGAAACTCAGCGGCTCGAATCGCATCTTTGGGTTTGATTTGAATATTGTCCTATTGTAGAGGGGTGAAGGATGGTGAACACCTTGAAGGTCTTGCATGATCTCACTCTCTTTTGATGTCTTCGATTTTCAGATTCCACTCTGATCCACTCCAGAAACCTGCTCTGAATCAGGACCGTTGACACCTCCGTCTCAGAACACGGAGTTCCGCGGTCCACGTGTCGCGGAAGGGAAAAACCCTGAAAAAGCGAGGTGCTCATGGCGGCTTTGGCCATCCGAAGCCCCTTGGACATGCTGGTGGGGCGGCTCAGATCGAAGCCGTTTCCCCGGCGACTCCGAGTGTGCGGGCCACTCCACGGTGGATGGTGGGTCCTGGTGGTTTTTTTGGTTTCTTTCTAGTTACTATATTGAAAGCTTCTTGTTACCACGAGCGATGGCCTCCAACCTCAGAGCGATGGCCTCCACCTAGAAGCTTCTATAGTTACTAGGTCATCTTGAAGCAATCCCAAAGCACTTCGGAAGGGCCACACGCAGCCTGGGCTGCCTGACACGAGCCGAGAGCGGGTGTCGCTCACTGCGCCGCGGCTTAGGTCTGTATCCTCTCGGTGCCCCTGATCCTGCTGGGGGACGGCATTCGGCATCTGATGATGCGCGGAGTTCCCGGGAGTCGGGTGAAGCCGGCGCGGAGCGGCGGATCGAAGCCGTAAGAGGAGCGGTTGGGCGGCCGATGAAGTGGTCTTCCGAAAATGCCAGATGAGCAGATGCTTCATCGACTCGAGCCGAAGCCAGAGATCTAGCGTTGATCAGAGCTAGAAGACATGAAGCAATCGAATTGGATGTTGCGATAGGACGGACCGTGTGTGACACCGGTCGGTTCCCGATTCGGTACCCCGGGCGCGGTGACGCCACCCAGTGCCGAGGCCCCACTGCTTCGTCTTGAACTGAAGGGGCGGCTCGGAGCTCTTTTCCTCTTTTTTGGGGGGGAGATGGGAGTGAGTGGAACCCAGCCGCCTGAGAGGGGTGAAGCTTGGAGGGTGAAGCTCTGGTTTTCGATGCTGGGATTGGGCGAAAGTTTGGCGTGTTTTTTTTTTTTTTTCGCGGGTTTCGATGCAGAATGGCCTGTCATGTTCATTCAACACTTTTCGACACCCTGGGAAGAGGGAATCTATGCGGGGGGTCTTGTAATTATAGGAGAGAACTTCAAAGCAAGTGCAGGCGAGTTGGGTCAACGCTGCAAACCCAATGAATTTCAAACGATTTTATCCTACTGAACAGGTCCGGCGATTTGAACTTCTGCTTTTGTGAAACCCTGAAAGGCTTTCTCATCGGATGTCGTTCTGAGGCGCGTGCTCCACGCGCCTGCTGTGTGAGACAGAGCGGGTCACAAGCTGTCCGATGTACAAAGCAGTGAGCCCGCGTTTCGGGCAGACAAGTCAAAAGCAGAGCGGCACATGTTGGAAGCTGAGGGGGCATAGTTTGACACAGGGAGACCTTCCAAAGACATCCAAAGACTGGTTGGAGTTTGGAAGAACGAACATAAGACCAAGACCCAATGATGATGGGGAGGTCCCTACATGTTCTAATCTATAGATAAAATAAATATATATACTTAATTGACACATCCAAACTCCGAACTCCTCCATGATTTTCACCATGTTCAACCATTCTCCTCGGCGAGGCCTTTTTTGGGGCTCGAGCATGGACTCATTTTTCTGACCTCCAGGCCCAGGTCACCAGGTCATTGAGATATAAAAAGATGGAGACGACTCGCAGCTACGTTGTGCATCGCTACGTTCGTAACAAGTGCATTACCACGTTCGTAATAAGAAGCTACTAATAGCGATGCATTTGTTACTATAGTAGCTTCTTGTTACTAGGGGTTGACAGCAGGGGACTCAGCTTGCCAGGCACAGGCAGAGAACTGGAACGAGCTTCGGGTAGCCCATCATGCAAAGCCTCGGTTTCCATGCAGTCGATCATTGGGTCTCCATCAAATCCCAAAGGCGTTTTTTGTTTTTTTTTAAAGCACCGAAAAACCTCGTCCAGGAATGTCCAGGAAGGTCCGCCCCCCCCCCAAACCTCATGAACATCTTCAAATTTTGTATCCACACCATGGGCGTGTGGTGGTGCTTGGCTGGAGTCACCGGAGGTCTCCGAGATCTTCGACTAACGTGACCCGCAGGCGCTGTTCCCCTTGGAGGAACAGATCGACTCATCCTTGGCTTCAGTGTATGGAGACTTAAGGGCCTATGCCACCAGGCGCGGGGGTGGTCACCAGTGTATGTTTCAAACGAACGACTCCACTTTTTGCTACTATAGGAGGGAAGCGATGCACTTGTTACGAACGTAGTAATGCCCTTGTCACGAACGCAGCGATGCACTTGTTACTAAGACTCTGAAAGGTTTTATGGTCGTTAGGTGGCGCGGGTTCAGTGAGACTGAAAACCCCCAAAAACCATCCATAAGCCATCCCCTTTGCAACCAGACTCGGTTCTAGCAGTTTAATGATCAACGGTTCGGACGGATTTCCAGTTCTAGTTGTTCAGGTCATCGTTGTGGGGGGATCATCACATATCGTCCTTCCAATCCTTGTCATCCCAAACACGCGAAGATGATACACTTTAATCATCTTTAATCTGGAACAGCTCGAAACCCCTCAGAATGTACTCCTCCAGGATCCCCTCCAGATCCCCCACGAAGACAGTTCGTTCTGCCCTCCTCCCAGTGCCCTCCTCCCCGGTGCTGTTCGCCTCGCCTCTCCTCCGAACCGTCACTTCAACCAGGTCGTCCTTGATGACCGCGCCCCATTCGACGCCAGAGAACAGCGACATCCAGATTCTGCCCGAAGGCCCGAAGGCCGAGGTGTGCTTTCACCGGTTGGGGTCTTGGCCTCCAGACTTGGCACGCGGGGTACGCCGCGCGGTGAAACAGCGGTGGATGGCGGGGGCCAATGTCGGTTGTTTGGCATTCCAGGTAGCATTGCTGTCACTTGAAGACTAGAGACCCTACAACCCGTTGGCGTCCAGGACGGGCCGCCCAAATTTTACCACGAACAGATAGATTCTGGAGTCTGTATCTCTTGAGCTGTGATCCAGTGACTCGGCAACAAGGTATGCATACGCTAGCTGCTTACTGGGCCACCCCACTTTCTGCGCAGAAGGAGCCCCTCACATGGCCGTGAGGCTTCCGTTGGCATGGCTGAGCGCTCGGAGACATGCGGATGCGGCTGAGAGAAGACATGCGACGGGACCATCGGTGGGATGTGACTGGGGAGGAGTTGAATTGCTTGGAATCCATCCTGGGTGCCGAAGGCTTCTTCCTTCTAGGTGCGACAGTCGGCTCACATCCCATGTCAGAAAGGGTTCCTATCCACAAATGAGAAGAAGAACCAACATTATTGTTCTCGATTTTTACATTGTCGTTGTTACATCTTTTGTTTAAGTGCTGGAGAGAAGTTGGCACCTCACCGACGGTGGTGCTCGAACAGAGCAACATCAGAACGACGGGCATGTGGACGGGACACGGCCTGTTCACGGACAACGGTCCACGTCCGCTTACGCTAGAGTGGCATGTGGCTTACTACGCCGCGCTTGAGGTGTCCTTAGTTGCTTGAGTTGAGTTGCTGAATGAGTTGGCTGGGGGTTCGAACAGAGCACTAACGCTTATATACTCTTAGTGACGTAGCCTGAATACATTTATATATGGTGCTGACGGTCAAACAATATTTAATCAACATTCTGGATCGAACTGCATAGTTTGCGGAGCAAATGCATGGAGGACCAAGAAGCAGTCAAAAGCCTTGATTGCGGAGAGAGGTCACCATGATCACTGGGAGAGAAAGATCCCGGGCTACCGGGCTCGATCTTTGGATCTTCTGAATTCTGTGAAGCAAAACACGTTTTGAAGGGTACCCATCAGTATCAGCCTAACATCTTCAGCACGACCGGGGGGAACACGAGCCGCCGATCCCGCCGATTCCGACCATGGCACTGGAGTCCCCGCGGCCGCTGAGAGGTGGGTCCCGCTATCGTGGTCCGGTCGACCGGTTCGTGCGGGTCGGTTTGTTTGGTCTTGGGTGAAGAAGGAAGAGGTTGGTCTTGGGCTTTTTGTGGCTTGGATTTGAAGGACTTCACCTCCCGATGGTTTCCCTATATACATCTATATACTTTTTCACACCAGTCTTCCAGACTCTTCTGGGCCACGGGTCTCCAAAGCAGGGAAGACGATTTCTCCAGTGTTCTGAGGGGAGCAAACAGTGAATTTGCTGGGAGGGCTGGCTGGTTTTTGGAGACATGTGCACAGTCCCATGCCACATCAGTAAGAGCCAGTTCAATTCTGGATAAGAGGCAGTTTCAAATGGACAAAATACCATTACTGTATTTTTTTCTTGTTTTGATTACCGCCGCGTATGGTCGACGCATCGAACATTTGGGGTTGAACGTAAAGCGAGATACCGACCACCGCACACCGCACTCTTTGAACGTATGTCTGTGACACCAGTGCTTTCGAACCTTGCGAAAGGGGAGTACTGGGCTCATGGGGTAGCACATTTGTTTGAATCAGGTGGGCGTGTTTCAATTTCATCATGTGTCCACTCTTGGGCCAACATGGCAGCACGGAGCTGACCGAAGGAACCAGTCATTCTGACATCCTTCACAGTATGTCTCGTTTTCAGCGGGGCCACAGAAATCCTTCCGTGGCCCTCCATCTGGCTGAATGCCACGGAACTGGAAGAGTGCCAAGTGTAGACGGCAGTGCAGTGGGTGTCAAAGCCTTTAAAGTCCGTAAGGGGTGGGAAGCCCACGAAAGAACTGTATACAGTATATCAGTATATCACATGTTGAATGTGCGAATGAGGCTCAGTGGGACCTCTTTACTGGTATATACCATTATACTGTACATAGACCTTCCAAATAAACAGGAAGTGACAGTAGATTCCAAATTCCCACTCAAAATGTACAGTATTGGAAAGCGTTTCTATCTATTTGGGGATCGCTATATCCAAATTTGTATAAATCAAAGGAAGATGGAACATGGAAACAGAAGATGAGCCCATCTTGCTTTGCAAGCAGTTGTTTGGACCTTGAAGCCCAAACGCCTGATATCCTGGCTTCAAACATCTTCCCCAGACTGCGAGACACATGTAAAGAATGGGAGATTTTTCGGATTTGCCAGAAGGCCTTGGACCCTCAGCTTTGCAAAGTCCTTGGCCTACAGCCCATCACGCCACCCCTCCGGTCCTGACATCGACGTTGTTTTTGAAAGAAGGCCCATCCGACCGGCGCCCGACGGATGCGCTGGCTCCGCGTTGCCAGGCGAGGGTGGCTACGAGGCCGCTGGATCGAAGATCAAAGCAGGACGTGGACCTTCAGTGCTGTGTTCCCATATATAATCCATATATACATATATTGTGTATATATATAATATTTTATAATTGTATTACATATTCAGCCAAATATACTGATACTATTTATACACGGTGGTAGAGATGTTGGTCCCAAGGATGACTTGGGAGATGACATAGGACACCATTGATGGGTGTTTCAGTCATGCTCGACTATTTGGGGGTTAGCGAGCTTCCCATCAAGATGAAGTCCTCCCAATAGCGACATCGGAAGAATCCAACAGAATCTTGACACAGCTTCAAGACAGGTAGTCTGGGAGAGAGAGAGGGGGGAACCCTCCTTTCAATTCGTCAAAGAAAGAGGGGATCAATGGCACATGAACATGCTTCCGATTTCTTTTTTTAACACAAACTTCTACCGGCACCCTCCAACAGCTTACTGACCTGCCACATTCTAATTAAGTCTCCAAAGAGACATGTTGGAAGGCTGCAGACCTCTTGCTTTTGAAACGCTTGAGTCTCTCGTTACACACCATCCCCTGTCACTGCCGCCGGAGGCCTTCAAAGCAGCTCCGTCCGCGACGGCCTCCGCCCAGACGGG